TCATCGCCCTGATGACGGAGGCAGTATGACCTCTGAAACGTTGGTTAACATCGACCAGACTACACAGCGCAATAACCCAGAAGACAGAAATCTTCATATTCACCGCTGTGAGAACCTCAAGTCTTATATCGTAAACATCTCGATATCCTATCATTGTATTTGGATTTCCTCCAGCCTGGAAGCAACGCCTTCTAGCGAGTCTAGGCCTAAGAAACACTCAGAGATGGCAGTGTGTTCACTAAATTACGACGATGGGATACCTGTCATTCAATTACATTATAAAGTAAAAACAGGCCTGATTAATTGTCCGTCCGTCAACTCTTCAATCAGAAGGAAAAACAGTTTTCCGAAAATGGCTGTCTGCTGGGACGTTGCGCCATGTAGTCTGGTAGAAATACCAGCATTTCAGAGGTCCTCACTGCTTCCTCAACGTCCTGATGATGGAGGCAGTAAGGACCTCTGAGACGCAGGGAAATTTCTATCAGAGTGCAGGGGTCAATATCCCAGAAGACAGAACCTGAAATCTCACAAAATAGTTTTCCACTCTCATTTCACTAAATACTAGTAGGAATTGCCTACACTTCTTTAGGTTATGTGGTGCCGAAGAGGTGTATCGGGGCTTACCTTGGCGGTGCAACCAGGCGGCTAGCTCAGCCAGGTGGTCCGGGCTGTTGGGTTGCAGGCGCGCCACGTGACGCAAGAGACGCCCCACGGCGGAGCCACGTCCCTCCTGACCCTGGTACAGCCGCGCCAACAGCAGGTAGGCCGGGACGTAAGCCGCGTCCAGACGCACACAGCGCTCCAGCATGCGGGCGGCATCCTCGGTGCGGTTCACTTTACTGTAGGACAAGACACTCGCGGTCACTCCTCGTACTTTGGACACTGGGGTAAATACGGCCGTACAGACGTTCAAATCTCGCCTTACTCTGCAGAGACGCTGTCACTTCTCAATCATTTGAAGAGAATTACTTACCATGCACAATTCTTAACAACCATGCTCCACATAAGGAAGCAACTCGGCATTACTTAAGGACTCGGCCATACTCATTCTCGAGACACACAAACAGCCACGTAGCCAAGAACAACACTTGATTCCAAAAATCCTCATGCTGTAGACATTTGTGTCTTCTCCCTACGGTCACTCAGCCGTTTATCCTCATAAGTCCAGTGTCTACTCTGCTCGTGCACGTATTTTTCTGTAGTAGTCGCTCATCCAACTTATCGCGTCATAAAATTCTACTACATCATCGCGCTAATGGTAGAGGCAGAAAGGACCTCTGAAACGTCGGTAAGCTTCTACCAGAGTACACGGCTCAACATCCGAGAAGATAGCCATCTTCGTAATTCGTGTTCTTTCCTTGAACTGAGAGTGTTTTTGAGATGTTTTCTTTAAATTTAAAAAAAGAATACAATTTCAAGAACGGAACAGTATAAGCTGAAATATTTAAAACATGTGTCAAGGCACGAAATATTCCTATAACATTCTTTACGCTATATATTTTGTACCAATGCAATTAAAGTCAGTAGTTTTATAAATATATCACAAACCATGCGAAAGTAATTTTAAAAAAGGGGTTAAATTGCGGTCTTCAAATTTATTTTTGTTTCAGTAAACAACACTGTATTTTTTCAACTCTAAAACATTACGTCCTATTCATTGTAAGGAATTATATGTGTTTTCGTACGCTTTCCTGTTAACCACTAACATTTATTACCCTAATACTTTATCAGTTTTTGTATTCAAGAATATGTACGGTTAGCAAAAATCAAGTTAAACTGACTGCCGTTTTAGGCTTGCAAACAAAAACATTCAGTGCATCATCGTGAAACACTGCACGTTATACGTCAAATTATCACTGGCCTACTTTATACTTCAAATTATACACACCCATCAGTGAGAAAAGGGTTACTTCGGCTCATTTAGTGTTTACATCAAGTAGGTATTTGTTCAAAATTACGCTTTATTACCCCAAATGGTCGTTGGTTATTAACCGACCACTAGCGTCGGGGACTTCACACTAGGTGGTGCAGATATAAACAGTTTTTGCGTTCCGTCTATTCAAATGGAATATTCTAGTATAGAGAATGAATGAATTAAGAGACGATTTAGTCACATAATAAATCATGGTAGATGATTGGCAGCACATACTTATATACCTATTCTTCCTACACCTATTTAGCGAAAGTTGTCAACGTAAAATATAATAAAAATTCTTCGCCTCTAACAGGCTACATCTCATTCTGCGTTATAAACTGACAGACGGACTCTAATCTCCATATAAGGCGTTCCGGTTTAGACATAAGCCAATGACTATAATATTATTAGCTTTGTACTGCAACACGTTACAATTACAAAGGATTCTGTGTGTACGAAGCTCGTTATTTCCACTTGCTGCACTGAATACGCTAATTATTCAGAGTCCATTGTATGCAATGCAGGCCTACCAGTTAGCTGTAACACGCACAGGAAATACAAAGCATATCTATTGGTTATTTTACTATTCTAATTCATAACGTAAAGGACACTATTTATATAATCCGGTTTCATAATACAGGTCAGATGGCAATGTCACGTGACATGGTGTTTAGGTTCTTCACGCCAGCTTCGGCTTTAGAGGGTCTCTTGTATCACAAATTTTTCTTATAATTTCTGCCACAAAAGTTCAACATAAGATGGACAGACAAATCAAATCAAAACAAATAAAAGCATATATCTGTAAGTAAAATAAATGAATGCAAGGACCATACAGACGATTGAAGATTCGAAAAGAACGCACACTATTTGATTTCACTCCTTTATTCCTTCATTGATAAAGCATTCTTGAGGCCCAAACATGAGGGAAATATTTGTATTTAATGACTGAAGAATATTAATTTAAAAACTTACAAACAACGGCATTTAGAATTATCTAGGTAAACATAATTTAACACAGACTGGCATTCTAATTACAACGTTGTCACATTGTCTAATCCGACACAAAGTGTTCACTCAATGTTTATTAATTTCAACAACAGCACAGATGATGTCAGAAGTACAGTCGTACTGTTTGTTGTTCACAGATTCTCAGCTGTTTTGTTAAGTGAAAGACTACTTCCTAAACTACTACCTTGCTCGTGCATGAATTATCGTAATATAATATATTGTGATGACGAGAGCTGGGCTCTGACAATGCGAAACATCGCCTTGGAAGTCAGCACAAGGCACATCTGAGCGGCTCTAAATGGGACAGTCAACCGTGGGCAATCCAAAGCTACACACAATATATCCCTCGGCAGTTTACATGCAGCTGCGTACTGCCCGTTTTCCCTTTGTGTCACTACCAAGTTGTAAAGGCGTGTACCAAAGTCATTCTGCAGATCTGTGCAGCCACCGTCGATACGAGACTTTGCTCTGCCTT